TTCTGTGTAGACCTCTCATGTGATTGTTTAAATTGGACTTGTAACTAAATCCTTCTCCGCAAAAGGCTTCTGTCTTGCGTGGACTCCCATGTGTCTCTTCAGGCTTGCCTTCCGGGGAAATCTTTTTCCACAGAGCTCACAAGCAAAAGGCTTCTGTCCTGTGTGGATTATCATGTGAGTGTTCAGATGTGTCTTTTTGGCAAATCTTTTTCCACAGAGTTCACAAGCAAATGGCTTCTGTCTTTCGTGGACTCTAATGTGACTCTTCAGGCTTCCCTTATGGGCAAATCTTTTTCCACATAGCTCACAGGCAAAAGGCTTCTGCCCTGTGTGGCGTCCCATGTGAGTGTTCAGATGCGTCTTTTGGGAAAATCTTTTCCCACAGAGCTCACAGGCAAAAGGCTTCTGTCCTGTGTGGATACTCTTGTGTCTTGTTAAAGTTGACTTCACACTAAATGTTTTCCCACAGAGCTCACAAGCAAAAGACTTCTGTTCTGTGTGGACTCTCATGTGTTTGTTTAAATTGCACTTGTGACTAAATCCTTGTCCACAGAGTCCACAAGCAAAATGCTTCTGTCTTTCGTGGACTCTCATGTGTGTCTTCAAGCTTCCCTCATGGGCAAATCCTTTTCCACATAGCACACAGGCAAAAAGCTTCTGTCCTGTATGGAGTCCCATGTGAGTGTTTAGACGCATCTTCTGGGAAAATCTTTTTCCACAAAACTCACAGGCAAAAGGCTTCTGTCCTGTGTGGAGTCCCATGTGAGTGTTTAGATGTGTCTTCTGGGAAAATCTTCTTCCACAGAACTCACAAGTAAAAGGCTTCTGTCCTGTGTGGACTCCCATGTGTCTCTTCAAGCTTTCCTTTCGGGAAAATCTTTTCCCACAGAGCTCACAAGCAAAAGGCTTCTGTCCTGTGTGGACTCCCATGTGTGTCTTCAAGCCTCCCTTTAGGGAAAATCTTTTCCCACAGAGCTCACAGGCAAAAGGCTTCTGGCCTGTGTGGATTATCATGTGAGTGTTCAGATGTGCCTTTTGGGAAAATCTTTTCCCACAGAGCTTACAAGCAAAAGGCTTTAGCTGACAGTCAGAATTGTTGCCATCCTGGTCATCATCTTCATCTTGGCTGACTTCAGTCTCTGAAGAGTTGGAATCATCTTTATAAAGTTTTGGATCTAGATTCCTGGTACGTTTTGCTCCTCCGTAGTCTACTCTACCACTTTCTGCTTTCATCTGGTCAGTGGTGCTGCTGGTTGGAAGATCTCCGTCTTTAGGTTGGTTCTGATCAAACTGTGACAACAGAACTTCTCTTCCTTCTTCCTTAACCTGACGAGAAACTGCAGAGAATGAAATGTTGGTGGCATCAGTTTTAATCTCATCAAGCTGCTCCTCCTCTTCCTGCTTCATGTTGAGGGGCTCCATGTCCTTCTGGTTCAAAGGAGGCCTCAGTTCTTCAGGAGCTGGCTGCTTCATAAATCAGCACCATTTGCTGAACATCTACAAACACAGACACAAAAACATAATAGTTGCATGATGAGATATTTTATACTGTTCAAGCAAGAACAGTTAGAAATAAGTAAAACAACCCAATGAGATTGACATTAAAAGAACACACAAGTCCACTGTACTAGGAAGGCAGGAGATGTGGTTCAAAAAGTTATTTTACAGTTATTAACTCATTCGCTGCCAGGCGTTTCCTGATCGGTAAAGCCCTTCGCTGCCAGTGTTTCTCACAGTTTTTACTGTTTTTTAAGAGTTAAAGAATGTTGCGCACTAGGATGATGTCGACACCAAAACAAAGCGGAGACTCGCCTCTTACATCAGGAAGAATCCACGCGTTTCAAGCGTTATCCGTTCTTTCATAATCCGTCGTTGAATTGTGATCGGCAGAAGCTTTTCCAGTTCGCGCCTCACTTTTTCTTACAGCAGCGGCCCAAAACGATCTCCTAACACATGGATTTTCTGCTTCCTGATCACGTGATGTGTGACGTACGCAGATGAAGATCGACTTTAGAGCTGAGATGTTTGTTCTCACGGTGTGGGGGCTCGTTCCAATGCCCACACAGTAAATAAATGCAAATGACGACTTTAGTCGTCATTGGCAGTGAATGGGTTAAAAATAATAATTAAAAAGAAGACCTGAATGAAATAATTAAATAATTACTAAAAGTAATTAAAATGACAAAAAAAAAAACTAATAACTACTAAAACCCAGGCCGAGGCTTACCAGTGGATGACTGGGAGGTTGAATCTCAATAAAGAAAATATAACTTAATCAAAAGGTACCCCAAGTACTCGTGACCATGCATTCAGGAGTGAAAGAATCCTTGGACACGGCATACACATGAAGATGGACCACCAGCCACCACCTTCAGCTCACAGCCCTTCTCATAAGATAAATTAGTCACAAATAAGAAAACTTGAACCAATTGGCTTTGTTAAAAATACTAAAACTCCCCAAAAACTATCCCAACTTCCTCCTCTCTTTGTTTACTGGGAAACCTGGACAATGTCCCAGTTGAAACATCTTTGGTTCACGTGGTTCTGACTGCCATATGCATCACTAAGAAAACTATCCCCTTGAATTGGAAAAATAGAGAAACTCTCTACATTAACCAGTATAGAAATCTTTTGTTAGATCATATTACACTTGATATAGCCTCTGCTTCCACTTCAAGTCAATCTCTCTCATAGCGATGACGGGGGACCATTGCTATTGTCCTGCGGGATGATGTGGGTGATGGGGTGGAGGGTCTGAGTTTGGAGTATCCGGACGTTCCCTGGAGGTGGGTTCATTGGGGGTGACTGTGACTTGGGGGCTGCTGCCCCTCTCTGGAGGTGCTTGGGTTGCCTCGGGGGGTGGACTACAGGCAGTTTTGAGTGGGGCCCCTTGGGGGTCTTGGCGGTGGACATGGGTTGCTGCCTGGCGGCTGTATTGCCCCTGAGTGGGTCTGAGTGGGGGCTCAGGGTGTGGGGGTGGCCGGCCCCATGTAGGGATCTGGGCGAGGCCTTGGGGGTCGGGTCCTGACATGTATGCGGCCGGGAAGAAGGCGAGAACATGCGGCAGTGCCTGGCTCGGGCTCAGGGGTCTCAGGTAGACCTTGGCTCCTCTGCTGTCCCATCACAGGGGTGGGGGATGTCCAGGAGGGGGAGGACCCAACCTTACCTGGATGTCCTATGTCTGGAAGTTGTACAAATGCAGGGATGGGAGTAGATATTCTGCTGGGGTGGGGCTGGGTTGGTGCCCTTGGACTCCGTGATGCTGCTGCTTTGGGCCCTGGCAAGATGGGCTGGGGTCTCCATGCCCTGGGTGGCATTTTGGCAACAGAAGAGCCTATTGGGGCCAGTGGGGGAGCTGGCTCCCTGGAGAGCTTAAGTCCAACCAGCCATTCCTCCCCACCCCCACACATTTCTCTCCTCTTGCTCCCTCACATCATCACACAAACATGCACATAGGACCTTGGAGGGTGGACAAGTCAGGGGGTGCAGGCATGGACACCATTTCTGCATTCCTGTGGCAACCTGCCCCCCAATTTTATTTGCATCTTAAACACTTCCACCAACGACATTCCACGCAAACACACACTTAGGGCTTTGGGAGTGAGCACATTTAACGGCAGTTGGTAGGGAGATTTTTCAGCCTCACTCTGAGTGCCGGTGCCCACTTCCAATTTTAAATTGCACTTAAGACACTGAGGGCTGTGGGTGCAAGTGGAGTGGTGCGGTGGCATCAGCTAGCATAGGCCAGACGATGCCCGCACTGCCCACTCACCCCAGCCATGGAATACACCTCATCATCACTCACTAACACTATAATGGAGCAGGCGGAGGGAGACTAGGTGTCTTAGCACACCTCTGTTGTCACTTGGCTTCCCGAGGCTGGAGGCTAGGAGGTAGATCTGGCAGTCTGGTTGGGGTCTGGGGTGGTGGGTTGCTTTGCTCATTGTTGGGTGGGGGAGCCTGCTCATCAGCACCCCAGCAGAAAGGGTCAAACTCTGGGAACCGGTAATGATGGTACCCCATGTGCAGCAGTACCGGGACCAGAGTGAATAGGGTGTGTATGGGGAGCATGAGTGGGTGTCCAGCATGCATTTTTGTAAGTCTTTGGCTGTATGTGTATGTGCGAGCATGAGGGAGCGAGTGTGTGACTGTCTGTTTATGACTGTATATGTCAGGTGGGGCCTTTGGCTCCTCCCTTCTCCTGGGACTTCTTTTGATGCTATACATCTTCGTCTCCCCTGCCCCTGCCACACCTGGTGTGGAGTAAGGTGCCTTGGTACTGTTTCATACTCCGAGCTGAGTACGCTAGTTGCGAGGCAGAAGCCATCTGGCTCTCCACTTGATGTTCTACCGCCTCGTCTCTGGAAGGCTGCCTTTCCGTGCCTTGGCCCTTCACTTGGTCAGATTATCAATGGGAGCCTCAGCACAGGCGTGGTCCCAGCTGCTTTGAAAGCAGCAGTTATTCGGCCGACCCTGAAGAAACCTGGTGCTGATGTCTCTGTGATCGAAAATTATCTGTTATTAGACCTGACAGCAGCCTTCGACACAGTTGACCGCGCGATTCTACTCGATCGCTTGGAACGATGGGTTGGGATCAAAGGGTCAGCTCTGGACTGGTTTAGATCGTATCTCCAAAACAGGACATTCTGTGTTAAACTGGGTGATGTTTTTTCTTCTTGGGAGGGGCTCCGGTGGGGGGTCCCGCAGGGGTCGATCCTTGGTCCACTTTTGTTTGCCATTTATCTGCTACCTCTGGGGTCAATCTTTCGTAAATATGGCCTATCATTCCATCTGTATGCTGACGATTGCCAGATTTACTCTCCATTGTGTCAGGAGAAAGGTCACTCTATTCAGTCCTTTGTCTCCTGTGTTAATGAGGTGAAGTCTTGGCTAATGTCCAACTATCTACATCTGAATGAGGGAAAGACAGAGCTCATTGTTTTTCACCCCAACAGCAGGAATGTGGATCGTTATGCTGATCTTGGCCCTCTTTCTCCATACTCAAAACCAGTTGTTAATAGTTTGGGGGTGAAACTTGATGTAGGACTTAAATTTGATGCTCACATCAATTCTGTGATACGGTCCAGTTTCTTTCACCTGAGACGCCTTGCTAAAATCAAGCCTATGCTGTCGAGAGCCCACCTGGAGCGGGTACTGCATGCCTTTGTAATTTCTCGGCTTGATTACTGCAACTCTCTCTATGCAGGGTTGTGTCAGTCAACACTGCGTCGCCTACAGGTTGTGCAGAACAGCGCTGCCAGGTTCCTGACTGGGACCAGGAAACGGGACCACATCAGTCCAGTTCTGGCCTCCCTGCATTGGCTTCCGATTTCCTATCGCTCACAATTCAAAATACTCGTCTTTGTTTATCATTTCTTCCAGGGTAGTGCTCCCCCCTATCTTGCCACACTCCTGAACAAACATTCCCCATCACGCACTCTGCGCTCCTCTGACCAAGGCCTGCTCGCTGTCCCTCGGTCTAGGTATCGTACACGTGGGGACCGGGCTTTCTCAGTCCTAGCACCGTTACTCTGGAACCAGTTGCCACCCTCAATCAGGCTGTCCCCTTCTCTGCCAGTCTTTAAGAATCACCTAAAAACACACCTCCTCCGCTTGGCGTTTCCAGAACATGTTTGATTATGGCCCTCTATTATGTTGAATCCATTCCACAGTTTTCATTGGTACACTCAATCCATCCACTCAATCCAATTGTGTTTCACACATTTGTATTTTACCGGAATGTTTCATCTATTTTGTTATTTCCATTTTGTATTTTGTAATTTGTATTTTGTAATTTGAATTTCTTTTATTTTGATTTATTCAGTATAATTACTTACAACTGTACCATGTTCAGCGCTTTGGGCTTCCTGACAGGGTTGCGGAAGGCGCTTTATAAATAAAGCTTTGATTGATTGATTGATTGATTGATTGGTCTGCCTGAAGCTTGGTTTATGCTTGACGCATTCACTTTCCGCTTGGTGATGCGGCTCACGGATGGAACGCGCTTCACAACTCTTAGCGTTTATGGTTCATGCAGCTTGTCTCTGCGGTGAGCCAATATTCTCCCAAACTGTAGGGGGCAGCATGGAGCTCTACGGCATGCATCCAACACCAGCGTCCTCGTCTTTTCCGACAGTGCGAGCTATTTCTCTCCAAGAATTATTAACAACATGTTGATCACTGTGATCTTTGAGAGCTGAATCATACAAATGTCTGTATTTACAAACCTCTGCCATACTAGTTCTTGCCGGTCCGCCATGTTTTTCCGCATCCGACTGTCCGCGTGGTTAGAAAATTTCCTAGGTGCGCGTTGCGGAAATTTTGGGCCGTGCGGAGGCGTGGTTGTTAAAATGACGCAAAATGACGCAACTTTTCTGCGCGGAGCCGTGCGGACCTCGCGGACGCATCAAGCATAAACCAACCTTGAGTGTTCGTGGCTCCCAGGTCAGGAAGTTTAAGATTTTTGGCCTCCGCCTGATCAATCCCGGTGGCTGCCT